ACACTTTTTAATTAACATATCCTACACAGTGCACATGGCTTAGGCGTGTTCATGGATTTGTGCATTTGGCAATAGTATTCAATGTCTGTATAAAGGGATGAACTCTTTGAAGTGGGGAGAACATGGTTGTTTACATGGATGGAGCTGGAAAATATTCTTTTTAGCAAAGTATCCCAAGAATGGAAGAAAAATTATCCAATGTACTCAGTCCTACTATGAAACTAATTTATAGCTTTCATAGGAAAGCTATAACCCAATTTTAGTCCAGGAACATGGGGAGAGGGAGGGAAGGGGAAGGGGGAGGATGGGTGGAGGGAGGGTGATTGGTGGGATCACACCTATGGTTCATCCTATAAGGGTACGTGTGAATCTCTCTAAATGTAGAATATAAATGTCTTAACACAATAACTAAGAAAAAGACATGAAGGCTATGTTAACCAGTTGGATGAAATTACTTCAAATTGTATACAGAAACAGTACACTGTACCCCATGATAGTATTAATGTACACTGTTATGATTTAATAAAAAAAAATAAAATGAAGTGGGGAGAACAGTGCACAGAGAGGCTTTGTCTACATGTTGTGCTTGCACATCAATCTCTTAGGAAGATGAACTTACCAAGTAAATATGAAGGAACATATCACTTTGTTACTGCAAAGGTAAGTGAATGTGCTTCTGACAGAGCCCTAGTGAGGCTCTACCTTTGACTAAGAAGCAGTTAAGGCAAATTTCTTTGAGTTTGTGACCTTCTGCTCTTGAGTCTTCACAGCAGCATAAATTTAGGCTAACAATCAAGAAAACACACAAAGGCTTTAGTTTATAAATATCTTAGTTTATTTTGGGTGTTATAACAAAACATCATGGTCTGGGTAAGTTTACAAATTACAATTTCATTAACTAGTTAAATTACACTTGGTTCGCAGTTCTGGAGACTGGGAGTCCAAGATCAAGAAGCCCCATCTAGGGGAGGTCCTTCTTGCTGCCTCACAGCATGGTGGAAATCATCACATGGATGAGGGTATGAGCAACAGAGAACAAATTCACAGCCTTCAGTTGTTTTATATGTGCCACTGATCCATTCATGAGGGTGGAGTCATTATAACCTAAACCCCTCCATTGGGCATCACCTATCCATAAACCCTATAATATTAGAGATATCCTCTCACTCCAAATTAAAATAGCCTTTATCAAGGAGACAGGCAATAATGAATTCTGGTGGGCACGTGGAGAATAAGGCCCCTAATACACTACTGGTGGGAATGTAAATTAGTGCACCCGCTATGAAGGGTGGTAAGTAGGTTCCTCAGGAAAGTAAAAATAGAACTATCATATCACCTAGCATCCCTCCTGCTGGTATACATGTATCCAAAAGAAAAAAGTCAGTATGGACAAAAAAGAAATGGACTCACATTTTTACTGCAGCACTATTCATGATAGTCAAGATTTGGAATCAACTTTAATGTCCATCAGTGGTTGATTGAATTAAAAAATGTGTAAATATACACAATGGAATATTATTCAACCACATGAAAATGAAGTCATGTCATTTACAGCAACATGGATGAAACTGGGGAACATTAAGTAAAAAAAAGCCAAGCACAGAAAGACAATCTCACATGTTCTCACTCCTAAGTGGGAGCTAAACATTTCAACAATTGATCTCATGGAGATGGAATAGAAAGATGGTTACCTCTGGTTAACCTGGGAAGGGTAGTGGCAAGGCAGGATAAAATGGGGATATTAATTGGTGAAGAAATGTAGGTAGATAAAAATGAACAAAATTTGATTGCAAAACAAAGTGACTACCTTCAAAAATAAGTTGTGGTATACTTGAAAATAAAGGACTAGAATTTTAATGTTCCTGACATAAAGAAATGATAAATGCTTAAGATGATGGATGTCCCAGTTACTCTGATTTGATTAATACACATTGTATACCTATATCCAAAATTCACATGTATCATATAAATACATACAATTATTATGTACCCACAATTGTTAAAAATAAAAATGTTAAAAAATGAGATTTCTTAGCATAACTTTATCCCACCTTTGTATTTTACAGGTTTTTTTTTTTTAAATTAGACTTCTTTGTACATTGCATGGTTTCATGCCCCCAGGTTTGCTTAAGTTTCTCTCTGCCCTGCCTAATTCTCTACCCATTTGATTTCTCCCTTTTCTTCAGAACTTCAGGAAACCTTTCTTAATCTCCTATTCAGGAAGGATCCCCTCCGCTTATCCCACAACAGAAACTTGTTTTCACTTTTCTCATGTCATTTTTATACTCTGATCCGTGATTGAATTGTGTGCTTAGGCCTGATCTCTTCAACAAGAGACTATTGGCAAATTGCAAGGCAGAATAAATAGCTGCACCACCCTAGAATATTCCCGAGTACAAATGGTTTGTCCATTATCTTTTCCAGACACACAGATATTCTCTCTCACTCTGTCACACGCATATACACAAGAGTTTGGACACGGTCTCATGCCAAACCACTAATCAGAAATTTCATTACTATCTGGTATATTATTGCCACGCACTGTTCTCCGTGACCTCACTATAAGAAAATTTAACATCTAAATTACTTCACAAGCTTCCAGATAAATTATCCTGTAGAATGGCTTAACCCATTGTTTTAATTCAACTTCTAATAATAGAGAAGATAATTGTCCATATTTCTCTGATTATCAAGGGTGTGGGTGTGTACGTGTGCGTGCGTGCACACGTGTGCCCACACGTACCCTGGGCACTTAACTAACTCCTGATGTCAGGTTGAAAAGCTGCAGATTTGGTAAAGAGGGTATTTGGCAAAGGTAGTACATTTCAACCATCTTCTGTGATACTGTGTTTTTGTGTATGATCATGTTTGGAATCTTCAGGAATACGGGTTCCAGGATCCCCACTTAAGATCCTTGGATGCTTACGTCCCTTATATGGCACAATATTCAGAATATTCATATTTACATATGATCTAAGCCCATTCTCTTGTATACTTTAAATGATCTCTCTGTTACATAGAATAACTAATACAATGTCAATGCTATGCAATTAGTCATTATACTATTTCTTTTTCTTTGCAGTATTTGTATTGTATCTTTATTTTTAAAGATAATTTCCATTCGTGTTTGTATCTGGGGAATCAGAACTGTAGATAATGAGATGCTGGCTGTATAGCATTTCTTGGTTCCCTGGAGAAATCTCGAAACGCTGTCAGTACATAGCTTAGAGTTCTTCCACATCTACCGATGTTGTTTCCACCTTTCCCTGTAAAATCTGATCTGGAGCTTAGTTAAGAGGGGCTGGTACATCCCCAAACCAGTAAAGGGTACGAGAAGGGAACATTGGCAATCTAACTTCCTAAACAAGTGTCTGCTATAAAATCAAGAGGAAAGGTGAGATTCACAGCCCTGAGGTACTGCGAGGACCTTTGCGTAAAGGCGCCAGCAATGGTGTGCCCTGAGGCCCGCCTTTCCCTTGCTCTCCTTCTGATAGCTCCATCCCGGGACGCCAAGTAAGAGAATCCGCTGTATAAACCCTTCTTCCCGGAGAGGACACACTGCAGACAGTGCCTCCTCTGTCCACGTTAGCTCTGGCTAGTCTTGTCCCTTGCTCTCTTTGAAGGCAACGCAATGTCCAGTTCAGTATCGAGTCCCCAGGCAGGAGTTAGGTTCTACATTTCTATCCCTTGCTGTTTCCCTATCTCTTTGATAAGGAAAGAGCCCAAAGTCCTCCCAGACGGGGGACGGGCAGCTGAGCCATCTGTGGAGTCAGTTCTAGCAGGTCGTTAGGACAGGGCTGGGGCTCAGAACCACCAAGGCCCTGGGTCCTGTACGTCTGCCTCTTAGGCTCTTGCACCAGATTTGACGTTAGTCTGAAAAACCTTTCCTGACCCTTGCAGGGGAAATGATGCTATGCCCTAACCTCCAGGAGCGAAGGGTTAGTTATGGGCGCCTGCCACCCTCCATCCCTTCACTTACGCTCGCGCGCACACGCAGGGTGTGGGGACGGAGGCGGCGGGACCGGCGCGGGGAAGGACGTGCAACTCTTCCTACGGTGCACACAGCTGCACGACCTCCCGCGGCGCACCCCTCGCGGGGACTCGACTTACGCTGCGCGCTGGGGACCGAGGGCAGAAGCCGCAGAGTGTGGCGAGGAGGGAGACTTGACACTTGTCTAAGGACACAGCTCAGGCTGCCGGCCGAGTTGAACGCAGCCCTTCCCACTTCCCGACTCCTCCCCAGTGTCTCTCCCTCAAGGTACCGCTCTCAACAGCAATGGGTCTAGACGCAAAAGAAACCCTCCGGGCATCTTTCCGCCCAGCCAATCTAGCGCCCAAGTCGACAGCAGTGTAGACACTAGGGCGCACCTGCTTCCCCTCCGTGGCGCTGGAGTGGAAAGCGTGGGAAGGGGACAGCCGCGCGAGGTGCCTGCCTGTTCCAGGTCTGCGAGAGGACCTGGGAGAGACACAGAATCCTTCTCCTCCCACGCCCTGAGAGGACCGAAAGCTGCGGGATACACCAGCTGCCCGCTCTGCCCGAGCTCAGGCGCGCCTGGGGTGCGGGGCCGGGCAGCCGCCTGCAGCATCAGCAGCAGCTCAGCTTCCCCGAAGTGGCCGGGGGCCGTCAGGGAGCTCGAGGCCGCCCTCCCCCTGCTCGGCCCAAAGGCATCCATCACCCTGCAGATGGCTGGCAGGCGGGTGGCGCCGTTACGCGAGGACATCCTGCTGCCAGCCGGATCGCGGCGGCACCCCTAGCTGGAGGCATCGGGGACCGAACTCGCGGCTCCGAGCTCGACTGCGGACGAATCCGGGGGCCGCGCGCCTAGAGGGAAGCGACCGCGGTGCGGCGCGGAGGGATACGCCTCGGCCGCGCCTCCCCG